TCCCAGCATGAGGGGTGTGGGAGTCACCGGATGCCGGTGATGTCCTGGGCGGTTGGGATGTCACTCAGCAGCATGCACCCGCTGGTGCAGCAGGAGGTTGGAGCTGCGGGTGTAGCCACGACTGCACTGCCCGCAGCGGAAGGGGCGCTCCCCTGCATGGGAGCACTGGTGGCGAAGCAGGGCTGAGTGGTGGCGGAAGCGGCGCCCACAGTGGGAGCACTCGTGAGGTTTCTCGCCCGTGTGCCGCCGCCGGTGCTCCACCAGGCTGGCAAGCTGGGCAAAGTGGCACCCACACTGGGTACAGGGGTTGGGGCGCTCCCCACTGTGTGCGCGCTGGTGCGCAGCCAGGGCTGAGCGGTGCCCAAAGGCTTGGCCACACCGGCTGCAGCAGAATGGCTGCTCCCTGCTGTGTGTGTGCCCGTGCTCCCGTAGGTGTGCCAGCTGGGCAAAGCACCGCCCACACTCAGCACAGGTGTGGGGTCGGGCGCCTGTGTGGCCCCGCTGGTGCCGCAGGAGGTTGGCACGGTCAGCAAAGGCACGGCCGCAGTCAGGGCAGGTGTGGGGGCACTGGCCAGCGTGGGCACTGCGCTGGTGCTGACGCAGGTAGGAGCTCTGTGTATAGCTGCGCCCGCACTCCCCACAGCGGTAGGGGCGCTCACCTGTGTGCACCAGCTGATGCCGCAGCAACGTGGCACTCAGGGCAAAGGCTTTGCTGCAGACCAGGCAGGGGAAGGGACGTTCACCTGTGTGCGCTAGCCGGTGCCGGAGCAGGTGGGCTCGCTGGCAGAAGCGGTGGGGACAGTCAGGGCAGCCGTGGGGGCGTTCGACACTGTGTGTCTGCAAGTGCCGTGCCAGCGTGGAGCGCAGCCCAAAGCTCTTGCTGCAGTGAGCGCAGGCGTGGGGGCGCTGGCTGGTGTGGGCGCCCTGCTGGTGCTGTGCCAGGTGGGCACTCTGCCGGAAGCTCTGCCCGCACTCCCCACAGCGGTAGGGACGCTCACCGGTGTGCACTCGC